TATATGAAGGAAATGTCAAAGGTATTTAAATCTTCTATCTTTTGGTGCATTCATTCAAAACTTCACTTATTGCTGGGACTAAAAAGTGGAACAGATTTGGAAGCATACCCCAAATTACGCGCGTTTGTAAAAGCTTCAACCAAAGGATAGGTACAAAAGCCAAAGAAATGTTCTGCATTTACAGAAAGCGACTTAGGAAGATTTTTTATTTCACCTAGATGACGGTTTCAAAAGTCATACTTGGAGTATCGTTACTTAGCAACTTTAAAGCACGTGTGTTTTAAAGGCCTTTTTTCGGACGCATTTGAGTGTTTAAGACGGAGATTGTGATTTAGGTATAATAAAACAGCAATAATCGTTATGGTTCAGCAATCATCAATGTTAAACTTTGAAGCAATTCAAGCGTATTTATGAACATAATTGTGTTATACATAACCACAATTGAATTTGCTAGTAAATTTGATATAAGCTGCTTCTCTACCCAGTTTTCTATCTATACTCATTATTTGGGGCTTTTGAAACAATTTTTACATTAATTAGCACTAGTATGGTTAGGTACACTTTTAAACACGAATTACATTCCTTATAATATCGTAAATCTAAGCTATATGCATCTGGAAAAATACGAGTTTATATAAAACTGGAGACAGAAAACGTAAAATAAAGCAAATACACGAGGAAAAGTGTAAACTAGTAACGTGCAGCCGTGAAGCGTGAACTGTCAAAACAGTATAACTAATAATTACAGCACGGAGTGTACCGCGTTGTTTTCGAGGCTTTCTATTGGCCAGTTTGGAATTAGGTCCAATATGGCAACCGGAACGAACGACCACTCAAAAACGAAATACCCTGTTGTCGTCACTGTTCTAAATTGAGTCACTGTAGGCAGAGTAGGGTCTGATAGAGTGAGTCAGACCTCTACTCTGCATAGGTTTGTGATCCCTTTGGCAAGTTCAGTTGAGATTGACTTTTAATCTTAAATTAAAATCATATTTCAGTGTCTATTTGAAATATTTTCAAACCAATTATTATTTTTGTATTAAAGTGCCATTGATTGTGACTATTCAAGTAACAATATTAATTATTTATGTGCTACCTTCTCAATTTTACTACTTTTTTGGCTTTATCAAGACCAGAACAAGAAACTCGTGTAACAAGGGGTCGCCGTGTTCAAACATTTTTGTTAATATATGGAAATTTCCACACGTACCGCTTCGTAGCGCACGTGAACGAAAGTATGTCCGGCGATAACAAGCCATAACTAGAAGAGAGCGAGCGCGATTGCCACGATCTCTTGAGACCTAAAAGTTTCGTTCCGTGCCTGCAACAAAGCCTATATAATAAATTTGCCAAAACTAACATCGACAAAACGAACATTGTCATTTTATTTCTATGCATAATCACGAAATTATTTTTCGCGAAATTAAAGCCGGAGGGGGGGGTGCAACAAGAACAACCCCATAAATGTAAAAGAACACCGGAAACAGTAAACCAGTAATATTCAAGGAGAGATGAAGCAACTAACCAACTTGATATCGCGATGCTTATCCAGTATCAAGCTAAAATGGAGCTGATTGTATTGGATTGCAAGAAGAGCAGCAGGAAATTCTTTGCGCAATTGAAATAATACAAAGCGGCGTAATCTCACTCGCAACTGAAATCGTTTCAGAATGCTTTATTTTCCCCTAGGGTTCCATGAATTAGACAGTATGCTAATATTTAACATTTCCATGAGGGCGGATGTTCACATTGAATTAAGATCGTTCCTTGCTTTTACTCTTATTCGAAAATAGTAAAGCTGTTCTAGCCCTCCTTAATTTTGTACGCATCAATTTGGTAGTAGGTGTACTTAATCACCACACCAATACATCACACTTGATAAGCTTATACGCTCCTCCGTAAGATTTACTCGATGCCAACAAAAAGATGTATTTCATTATAAAGTCAGTAAACTATTTCTATTCACCCCAAAAACGTATATCTTTATTGATTACAACCGACCCTGGGAAACAAAGCTAATTAAACTTTTAGAAGGATTTTAAATAAAAAATGTTCATGCAACTTCGATAATGCTAATTGAATTTTTATGTTCTTCGGACACAAATCTATTTTAAATGGAAATATCCTTTACTAATTTTTATTGGTTTTAGACGGGATCTTTCATGCTACTTCCTTTCATTAGCTAATGAAAACTCTTCATAAAACTATTTAATGGGTGGTCAGTTAGAAAATAGTAATATTTACTATTTTTTGCCGTTTCTTTGAAAATCCTTTCAAGCTTGTGAACCAAAATAATGCATTATAGGAGAATTATTTTCATTTGCTTCTAATGATTATTGGGTAATGCCGAACAATTCCGAAAGGATTAAATACACAAAGTTTAATGAATACCTGACACGAGAAAAAAAATTTAACATGAAAACTTTATCAGGATCACACAAAGGATTCGAATAAACACATAATTAATTGATTGGCAATGGGAAAAATTTATTCCGCAACACATCAAAGGACATGATTTACTAGAAAGCATTCCAATTTGAGCTTTCTGCTATAGGCAATATTTCTAGAAACGAGCTTACAAAAATGGCCAATATTGCAATATTGAACACAAATAAATGCGTACATAAATATTTAAAATTGTTCTTTATACGCCCACAGCCTATCAAAGCATGTCAGAGTGGTACGAGACAATTTAAAAGTTTGTAACAGTTGATCCTATATAGCATTTGAACAGGCATGAAATGGCTTTTCTCCGCCGTCGTAAATTTCGAGTAATTGATGCGCTCGAGTTGCTTACGATGTAGTTTTAGTTTTAGGCCATTATTGATCGCCCTAACCTGAATGTATTGGCAAATGTTTCTCCTACATTTAATCAGTTTCGCATCAAACCGACAAAAACACACAAAATCCAACACTATGAGAAATTATACTGAAACGCCGAGATTGCAAGTGTTCTAAATACAATAGCGAACTGTCCTTCACAAAAAGGGGTTTTATCTCGTCAGTTGGAAATTGTGCTAATTCGAATCAAACAAAGAGACGCGCGGCATTTATTTAACTTTTTAAGTTTAAATGTATACTCAAGGGTTGATTTATTAAACTTTGACCTTTACTGCTTATATAGGGCGCGTAAACGAACTCCTGAAACAGAAATTGATTAACTGACAGTCGGTGGCAGAAACCTTCCTCTTCCCTTTTCCCTTTTCATTTCTGCTTAAACATGGCGTATTTTGTCTAATTGATTACCTTACTAAAGTGACGTCTTTCCACAATGGCCGGAAAAAGAACCCCAACTTTTATTACATGCCAGATTAATGTAGGAGCATTACGAGAGGTTCGTTGTAAACTTCGTAAATGTGAATTAATTACAGAAGTTACTCTAGCATCAAAAGACGTATCGCTACTTTGATCTGTACCCACCTATTTTTTTTTCTTCAAATACAAACAAGTTCACATTGCATTTACACTATCGGCACATGATTCAAATGATCTTGTCGTAGAAAGCCTGATTGATAGGTGCAGCAAGTGATTTGTTTTTCCTAATTCCAAATTTGGGAAAAGTTTTTAATTATTTACCAATTTCGTCAGGAAAACGACAAAACACATTGCTTTGATGCACAGGAGCTAAATTTTCCTGACATACTTTCTTTTTGGTTAAGTTGGTAGATCGAAACCTTTATTTATTTACCAATCTCTTGGCGGAGACTGCAAATTTAAAAATTATCTTGATGCACAATAATTAAATTATGTGCTCTTTCTGTCTTGGTCATTTTTTGAAAGTGTAAAGTCATTCGAATTAATAATTCTTTTTTGGCCAGTTGCACAAACAAATAATCCAGGATTATTGTTTAATCCGGTATTAAGACATTTGATTGACTTTATATTGCAGTATGCAGCCAATCAAATGTCAAAATTCCTATTTAAACTCAGATTTGGCAAATAATGTAGGATTTTGATTATAATTCGCTTTCCTGCAACCGGCCGTTTGAGTATTAATTACAGTTTCATAAGCGATTGCCTCCGTGACGGACGTTAGCTTTGCTATTTCGCATATTTATGTGCAACCCGATTCACTACCCCTTTTATTTGTTTGTTTGTGTTGTGATCTGTTACAGATTTTAAAAACGCACCCTTCTGAATTCAGACGGCCGCTATGACCAGAATTCCCCGTTTCAAAATACAAATTCAGCAGAAATTCAGTATGCGAGTTGCTTAAGTACGGCTCAAAACTCATTCATTTCGATCTCCAATAAGATTTATTTTTGTGAAAAGATGGTGGATTTATTTACTAAACGTAAAATTTTTTTCCACTCTGCTCGTATTCGGAAACCAGATTTTTAATCCGGCTCTTATTCAATAGCACCTCATCCTTGAACTCCCAGAAATCGATTGGCGGAGGTTTGACATCGCTGTCTTTTTTCTTTTTTTCCTTCGAAAAATTTCCCTAAAAAGGTGTGGTTAATTACCACCACATAGGGATGATTACTCGGGGAGCAATAATTAATCAGAACTCAGATTTTAAAAAAATCGACACTGGTTATAATGATCTCCATAAATCAGTGTAAGGAAGCCGTTGCTTCTTCTATTTCAACCCCTTTATCTACAAGAATATTGACCATCCACTGACCAATAAGTTGTATGGTTATCAGCTTATAATTAAATTAACTGACCGTGCAAAAGAATTGGTCATTTGATCGTGCACCTAATTATATTACTACCTAGAGAAGGTGAAAAATTAAAGATTAGCTAATCAAAGGTAGCATATATGCTCACAAAGGGGTAATTTTAATTTCGAGCGCATATCGTTTTCGATGTAAAAATAAATATACCAACCCGCAAACATTTTAATTAAAAGTACACAATTTGACGAGCGTAATTTTCTAGGGATTCATTACAATTCTCTCGTTAGGATTGCACTCAGGATACGAACAATTAGATTCCAATACACGAACATGCACATTTATAGAACACATTGATAATAATTTTATGTAAACACTTACCCCCATTGAATTACTTAACGAGGAGGTACGTATTGAGCCACTTACCTGAAAAAAAAAGAAAAGAATTAAACTTCTATTAAAAGGCGTCGTGTTTTGTAGGTGGTGTCTTTTTTTCTAGTCAGAAAGTCTGAGGAAAAGGATGGGATATTAGATAAATAATGGCGCACACGTTAAAGGATCGCCATCAATTTTATCACTTCCGCCAAATTAAGAATTTAGCATTCCCACAACAGACATTTGCGGTTTAGCGCCTTTGGGAATAGGCTTCTTTCTCCGTAATTCTCGCAGAATACCCCGAAATGTAAGGGAGCATTGCAAACTCAAATTTTATACATTCGCACGTATAATATTCATATTATAGGGCGTTAGATAGTAATTATGTACATTGCCATGTTGTAATAGCCAAACTGTGATGTAAGGGTGTCATGTCAAGAAGTTTCTGAACAGACTTATGTTCTTGTAAATGAATAAACCAAAATATGTTCAGACGTGTTAGCTTTATTTTTAAGGGTGGTTTTTTAATTTGATATCTTCATCCTGCTTCAAAAGGTATAACGAGTCGCGTTGTTTGTACGAGTATTTTTATTCGTATTTTTATAAGAGTACCCTAACCATACGTATTTTAAATAAAGATTAAAGATAAGGCCATAAATCAATTTAAATATACTCACTAAAAATGTGATCGTCATTTAATGATCGACAGTTTATTAGTAAAAAATCGTAGTCATTGTCTATTTTTGTCAATCGTTCACGGATGGAGAAGTTTTCCTCTGAAAAAACCAAGACACGTAAGCTCCTGCAGGCCAACGATCTTCCTTCATTACAGCCTCAAAATTATATAAATCGAGAATTATTTTAAAACTTGAGTAATAGTGAGGGAATTTTGAGGGTATTTGCTAGCATTTTAGATTAGAGATTTAGATAGTTGACCAAATCGTTTGTTGTTTGCGGATTTAAACTGGACACGTAGATAAAATATTTCTTGGGCACCACCCGAAGGCAGTCGACCTTTGACTTCCTGCTGCTTTTACTTCTCTATGTTCTGGTTTCTTACGTACCACCTCTGTCCATGCAGTTGGTTGCATATTGTTTTCCGGTAGCAATGTTGTTTCCACTAGGGATTTGTTAATGGTCTCGGTGGTATTTTTTCCATCGTTTTCGTTAATTATTATTTTCACCGATGATGATTTTTTGGACAGCGTCGTTTTAGGTAGATCATTCGGACTTGAATTTGTCGATGGTGACGATTTGGCATCTGAAGAGGGATGTTGGTCATTTGTTGACGTTACAGATTTAGGATCTTGTCGACTGGCGTCAATAGCTGGTAGGCTGGCAGTCGCTTTGATACAACTGGTCATGGCAATTCTGGAGTTGACTCCAGAAATTAGACCAGAGCAATTTTTAATACAAAAAGTTTGTTTGTAATTTGTATGAAAAAGACAGAGTACATACGTGTATTTACAATCTGCAAGATAAAACCTTGAAACGCCTTGATGTGGATTAGAAAATTTCCCAAACTCTTATCTTCAAACAGGTTTTTGTGTGTGTTACATATTGATAAGCGGACTGCATTCCCGTACGTAACTAATTGATCGCAACGATTTTTGCCCTGTTTGTTAATTCTTGATTATGGACAAAATTAAATAGCCCAAAAACCATTCAAAGAACCAATCTATATACAAAAAACCCAAAAAAATCAGACTTAGAATTTGAAAACTTATTGGAAAAACACATACCTTTGATTCAAAGGATTATAATAAATGTCCGTGTTTCTTTATTGACTTGACTCCACGCTTAAATCCCAAAAATTTGGATATACAAAATGTAATTATATAAAATAATTAATCCATCTTCCAGGTAACCACAACTTCGAAGAGATATTAACAGCAATTATACGTTTATTATATGATTAATTATTCTTGCGAAGAAAATTTAAACTGCCAGCTTTAACGATTATTTTCGTAATGTAGGTACGTTACCAAAATTGCATTAGAGCGGACATAATCGTAAATGATCGTTCAAAACCGTAACGTTTGAACTAAATATGTAACAAATTCTCTTCTTGTTGTTGTTTTCTTCCATAAATGCCTGTCAATGTCGTGCTTGGCTCGCTTTATTGTGGTTAAATCTTCACTGTGGTCTACTCGTACCTTCCTTTTGTTGCATTTTTCGAATGGTTTGTAAAAGTGCTCTTTTGAGATGCGGAGATGTTTTCCTTGCATTGCAGGATAGACAATTTGCCACGTAGTTGCACACATAGGTCCTCATCTTCGGCCAAAAACATCTTGTACTCACGCAGTTCCATGTTTTCTGTTCAACTGGATGCCCTCTCAGTGTTGAATTATGAAAACTGTACAACGCATCAGCCGTCTAAAAATAATCGTTATATTCGCCCTCGGTTTCCAATTTTTCCCGAACTTCTTTGCAGAAGTCGTCCTCCTTGTGTAGTTTTAATAACTGTTTTCTGTCCCGTATTGGTTCTATACTAATTTCTAAAATACTCGTATTTGCTTGCTCTTCGTGTTATTTTGATAGAACATAGGCCGTAACATTTAATGGTAAACCATTGGAAATAAGTGACTGGAAGGAAACGAGCAGAGTAGTACCGTATATGAAACGAGGTAGTAAATATCAAGTAGACACCTATGAATTAATAAACATGTATTCAATAGATAATAAATTTAAGTTGTATAAAAAGGATTTAGTTTAATAATTTGTTAAATGATATAAGTGCGAATTTTATTTCAAAAAGTCAGCCACCGTTTTAGCTAATCAGTTACAATATTTAACACAGGAGAATCAATCGCAATAGGGAATAATCAGCAATTTGTTCGGCACACGCCTAAAGTTGTGCAATGAGCCCAATGGGGAAATAGAAGTGTAAATTTTTGCAATAATAATAAATCGCAAGGTGGAAATCGTGCTCAGGAAGGCAAATTTTTCGTCCCTAAAGATGAATTAAATGTTGTTTTAAATATTAATGACTTAATTATATTACAGTTGAATATTTTGGCAAAAGATTAAAGTTTTTTCTCAATACTGGAGCATCTATTAGTTTAATACTCGCATTTCATAATGCTTTAAATGGAAATGAATGTGATAACAATAGAAATGTAACTATAAATGGCATAACGGGGTCAATGAAATCGAAGTGATTTATTAACATTTCATTTCAATTCCTAAATTTTCTAATTAATAACGATTTTCCTATATTTGATAGTTTTACAGAGGATTTTGATCGAGTACTTGGATCAGACTTTTTCGCAAAATATACTTAAGGCAATAATTGATTACGGAAATTTTACTATTTCTCTTAATGACCTTAAGGTAGCATACAAAGGATATGTGCCAGGTACGCTTTATTAGAAAACGATAAGGTCAGTGTCACTAATGTAATCCGACCGAGCATTAAACTAAAACAAGGTGCACGGCCCGTTTATATAAAGCCGTATAGGTTGCCGCAAGTTCAAAAGGCAGAAATAAATAAACAAATTGACAACAACAAATAATAACCAATAAAAAATGTCGTACTTATATGGTAATAGAATAAAAATATCGAAAATGATAAATTCGACCGGGAAAAAACAGTTTCTTATAGAATGTGGCCTGTAGAATCCATAATTTCAAATAGTTCCAAGATTGAGCTACTAGTTCAAAAGTTACAGCCTTTTGAATTTTCTTTCGAAATTGGTTTCTAGTCTATAACTTTTGATTGAGAGGTCTAATCGAAAAAGTACGAATTGTTTTGGATTCTATGCACCAAAATTAATACGAAAATGTGTTTTGCCGAGAAATTTTGGTGTAGTCGATTTTTGGTAAAAAAAGGAAGGTTATACACTGCCTTTTTTTGCCCCGAAAAAAAAATGGTCTCAGATAGGGAATGCAATCCCGCAGCAAAATGTCAATACCGGTATTTGCGGGATTTTTAGATGTTAATCCCGCGGGACCCCGGTATTTGCGGGATCCCGCAAAACTTTAAAATAAATTGCCAAATAAGCAATTCTGTTCGGTTAACTTCTGTATTAAAATAAATCGCTAATTATCACAATATTTAACAAAAAAGTACCTTCAGCCTAACTTAGAGCTCAAAAAAACCTCACCTGTAAAGCACAAAAAGGTAAACTTCTAAAGTGCCTCAAAAATCATAGTACATTTTAACGAAAATAGTTTAACAATTATTTAAAAAATAACTTCTCCGTTATGCGTTTCATTAACAAAGTAAGCAGATTCGTCCCTTTGGTCGACAAATTCCTCAGTCCCGCAAATCCCGCGGGATCCCGCGCCATTTATGTGCGGGATCAATCCCGCAAAAATGCTGCGGGATCCCGGTATTTCGGGATCCCGCGATCCCGGTATTGCATTCCCTAATCACAAGGTTATTATCAAGTCGGGTTAGAACCATCATGTAGAAAAATATACGGCATTTACGACGGGAAAAGGATCTTTACAAATGACTAGGTTGCCAATGGGGTTAAAGACACGTCCAAGTGTCTATAGCTTTATCAGGGTTGAATTACGAATCTTGTTTTATTTACCTTGACGATCTCATTGTCTTTGGTTGCAAACCCACACAATAAATTTAATGAAAGTGTTTAATAGGTTGCGGGAAGTTAATTTAAAGTTGAATCCATTGAAATGTGAATTTTTAAAGAAAGAAATTTTGTATCTGGGACATACCATTTGGGAAAAGGTCATTGAGTCCGGCCCAAATAAGATTAAGGTACTTCAAAATAATCCAGTTCCAAAAAACGTCGACGAAATCAAAAGATTTGTTGCTTTCGCAAGCTACTACAGAAAATTTATTCCACGTTTCGCCGAAATTACGCATCCTTTAAATAACCTAACAAAAAAAGGTAAAAAATGTTATTGGGATAAATCATGTCAAGAATCATTTGAAAAATTAAAACAAGCGTTAGTAAGTCCACCAATTTTAGAATTTACACATTTTTCTCCAGAAAACAAATTTATATTCATTGTTGAGTTATTGAAAACCCCCTTGGATTCAAATTGCAACTGGAAACAAATTCTTAGGTGGAATAATAGGAAATGAAGACAAAAAGAAAAAGTTTGTAAAAAATAAATGATCCTGTTGAGACTGTTAAAAATGCTTTTGAAATTACCTGTAAAAACTCAGAAAAGATCAGAACTTCTTTGAATGAACATACTCTTTTGAATATTCAAGATCACATCATCTGTGTTAAAAAAATAATGAATGAAGAATTGATAACAAAAACAAAATGAGATATTTGTATAACTACCTGAAAACAAAAGAAGAGTTTTGCATAGTGTATACGAAGGAAAGTCTTCAAAATGGTTAATTCAATTTTTTAATGATTCCCTCAATACTTTGTTTCACTTGGAAACCCATGCCAATATAGCAACCTAATGTTGGATAAAATGCCTTTGCTTGTTCATCCTTTATGTAAGGAAATTTAGTTCAGAATTTCATTAGATACCTATATTTCAAAAGAATTTGCTAATAGTTTTACATACACTACTTTGACCATCACCGTGCTCTCATTACTATTTGTTAACTAATTATCTTAAAAATCCATCATCCCGTTACAGTTATTTGCTTTGAAGACCACGGCCGAAGTCATTTAAACTACGGAGGATTAGCGTAACATATTGCTATTTATAATTACTTGCACAAAGTTGACATTTTACTTTAAGACTATCCAAGATTGTTCATGCGCCCCTTGTTTATATGAATTTGATGTTAATGGAAAAGGGATCCAATGCCACTGAATGTATTTCAGTGTGAACTTATGTACTTTCATATTCACTAACATGTATTTTCTTTCAGCTAGGTAATTAAACGAACACAAATATGGCCGTGAATGATCGAAACTATTTTTTGCATTCTAGCAATGGAAATATTGATACAGTTTTATTTTAAACATCATTTGAAGCCACTCCAACCGACCTTTTTTAATACTCGTAGAACTCGTATCTATAGTTTCGTTAATAAATTATTATTCATCGGAATCCTCGTTTTCAGCACAAGAAATTTATTTTCCCAAAGATTTAGTATTATATCCTTCGAATCACATAAAAATCGAAAAGGCATTATTTGTAAAAACAATGAATTATATCTTAGTAGATCGTATATTTCTTTTATGTAAAGACCTATAAAAACCATACATTTGGGAGTGACTCCTAGAAAAGGGTACACGCTAGTGCGAGTGACTAATCCGACAGTTAATTCCCAATAAAATATTGTCACTGAAAGTACGTTTATAAATCACTCAAACAACAGGTATTTTCGACTGTCTGTTTGATAACACGTCGGATCTTGTTCTAGATCAACATCGAAGTGTAGGTTGCAAGACAAGAGTCGACTTGTCAAATCAAAATTGCCTTTTTTGTCAATTGGTGGATGAGAAGCATCTATTTTGTGCAACTGGAAGTGTGTGCCGTTCCTGTACTTGCAACAAAAACGGCAATCAGGCGGAGAAGTAATTTATTCACGGATTTTAATTCATACCCAAATTTTATCTAAATAAATTTCACGTTTTGTTCATGTTACAAGTGTGTTATTTACGAATTTAAGGGTAAAATGTTTAATTCAGTGCTAGTGGCCACAACTTTAACCGAGATGGAGACTATTCGATCGCATTTTCATACCAAAAGTATAGAGGGACGTCTGTAATACCGGTAATACCTATGCTCCAAGTTTGTGTCTGTGAATTAAACCGTAAGATGAACAAAGTGTAGGAGAACTAACGAAATGAATATTCCGTTTGTAAAATGTAGAGATTTTTCCAATGTTTGCATCAGTTTATCGTGTTTCTTTTTTGTTATCTCACTTGACTCGTTTTCAAATCCCACTAGCAGTTGTTGGAGACGCAAGCGTCGCGTTACTAAAATGCAAGGTGCTAACGTAACATTTTACTCACGCCACCTAGTTTTCCACTTTTTATCGATCGTGTGCCTCAATTTCAGACTGA